TGACCCAGGGGTCTCACACTGCACATGGTGGAAGCAGAGAGAGCAGCAAGAGAGAAAGAGCAAGACAGACTCTCCTCTTCTTTTAAAACCCTCATAACCATGCCCCTGACCACCATTTTTAATCCATTCACTACTACATGTCCTACAATCCAATCACCCCTTCAGGGCCCTACCTTTCGATTACCGTAATAGGATTTCGCGCCCTCTTAACAATCACAGTGGGGGCTAAGTTTCTAATACATAAAACTTGGGAGACAATTCAAGCTTCAGGGAGTATTGGGGGGACATAATTCAATCCACTACATATGTAAAAAAAAAAAAAAAACAAACCTGAATACACACACAAAAATTAGAACTAATAAACAACCTCAGCAAATTTGCAGGATACAAGATCAATATACAAAAACCAGTTGTATTTCTACACACTAGCAAGGAACAAATAGAAAATGAAATTAATAAATCAATACCATTCAGAATAGCACCAAAAAAAAAAATAATACACTTTGGGATAAATTTAACCAAAGAAGTGCAAAGCTTGTACACTGAAAACTACAAAATATTGAAGGTAATTAAATAAGACCTATGATTAGAGCATGGTGCTTGATAGTACCAAGATCCAGGGTTCAATCCCTGCACTAGCCAGATGCGAAAAAAAAAAAAAATCTAAATAAATGGAAAGGCATCCCATGTTCATAGCTGAAAAGAATATTTATAAAATGGCAGTACACTCCAAATTGACCTACAGATTCAATGCAATCCCTATCAAAATTCTAAATGTCATTTTTTGCAGAAATGAACAAACAGATCCTAAAATTCATATTGAAATGCAAGGGACCCAGAATAGCCAAAAAATCTAGAAAAAGAAGAGCTAAGTTCTGGGACTCGCATCTCCCAATTTCAAAACTTGCTACAAAGCTATAGTAATTAAAACAATGTGTACTGGCATAAGGATAGGCATATAGATAAATGGAATATAATTGAGATTCCAGAAATAAATCTACACACCTGTGGCAAACTGATTTTCAACAAGATAGTTAAGACCATTCAATGGGAAAAAAACAGTCTTGCCAACAAATTGTTCTGGAATAAATGGATATCCACATGCAAATGTAAGAATTTGGACTCCTCCTTCACACCATATACGAAAATTAACACAATATGGACCAAAGACTTAAATATAAGAGCTAAAACTATAAAACTCCCAGAAAGAAACATAGGAGTAAATCTTTGTAACCCTGGATTAGGCAATAGCTTCTTAGATATTATATCAAACTCAAGCAACAAAAGAAAAAATAGGTAAATTGGACTTCATCAAAATAACTTTTGTATGTCAAAGGACATTATCAAGAAAAAATACAGTATATGCAATAAACTGAGAGGAGGAAAAAGGGAAGTAGAATGAATATTAAGTCAATCCTCTCTTTGACACATCAAAACCAAGAGCAAAATTAACCCAAGGAAATTGTCTGTTAAACTTTAAAAAAAAATTTTTTTTCAATTAAACTTATGTTAGATGATAAAATAATTTGTTTGAGCTAGAGAGACCCTTGATAAACTTAGCTTATCAGAATGTCAAATTTCAGGGCTGGCCAGTTAGCCTGCTTGGGTAGAGAACAGTGCTGATAACACTAAAGTCTTGGTTTCAGATCCCTGCACAGGCCTGCTGCCAGAACAAAAGAAAAAAATTTCAAAACAATTAGAAAAATGAGAACAAGCTTCAAATTAAATCCTTACCAGACCCGGTATGCTATCTTCATCACTGTCTCCATCCTGACTGCTTTCCATATCAACACTGAGAATCATTGCATCTGAAGTGCTCTTGTGTGATAGCTTGTTACCTTCTGTATGAGCATCTAAGGATGATTTTTGGTAAGTGGATCCTGCCTTAGGTGATGTGGCTTTCATCTTTGGTGTTAAAATCCTTCTGCAAGTTTTCTTTATTTCAGTCTTCTTACGCTTCTTATATGCCACTACACTGTTAGAATTCTTTCCCACTAGGGATTTGGAGCACTTAAGTTGGTCTAGCTTGTAATTACTGAATGAAAAGGGGGCAAGATAAACCTTAGCTGTTTTCCCTAATACTGTAGTCTGTACTGGTCTCAGAGACACATAAGAGATGTTCTGATTTTCTTTATATTCATTCACCTGTTCAGGTCAATAAAGGAAAACAGAGTATTAGAATCTCAGGTCCTGTGCCTTTTCTTACAACAAATCTGTTTATCTAATTCCTATTTCATAATGACAACATAAATGCAAATTGATAGCCTTTAAGAAAACGTTTACCCCTCCAAAATCTAGGTACGTAATTCATTAACCTGAATAGAATTACTCATTATACTGAGCACATTTTCTTACCTATATGAGTTTGCCATCCTGACAATAACAATGCCTACCTAGCATTTGTAATTTAGGAGCCTACCCCAACTTTCAGCTTCAGCTTAACTGGAATTGTTTAAAGTGTGTGAGGCTGACAATAACTGCTGCAAAAGTAAACGCAGAGGGCAGGAGAAAGGGAGTCCCAAATCCGACTCTGTCACCGTTTCTAGGGTTATTGATAAGAACCTTCTTCAATGCTGAAGGCCTAGTTTTCCACAGAGGAAAAACAGGGCAGGAATCTCCGCTTATCCCCAGCGCCAGGTGCTCGTGCCCTCCAGGACCTGTGCCCGGCAAATCCCCCACGAAGACTGAGGCAGGAGCACACCAGAAAGCGTCAACCCGTTTCTCACCTTCACCTGGGGTCGCTGTTTGAAGGTTGCCTTCTCCTCAGCCGCCGCGCTGTCTGTATATGTTATACTATTTCTGGACTTCAAGACTTTGCTTATATTGTCCCTTCTCTCCCCCACCACAGCAGTTATAAAGTCCTTTCTACGGTGAAATGTGTTCTGACTTCCAATTAGCCAATTTCTTTTACACAACCCAGCTTGTAAATTAAGGCTCCTTATGCTATGATTCCAGAAGTCTTTTAAGATTTCCTGAATAAAATTCAGCCTTCTTGAGTAAGTGGGCCTTTTAACAATATTCCATACAGGCCGGGGTGGGGCCCGGACGGCAGGGAGGCGGGGCCCCGCACGGATCGCCCCTGGCTTGAGCGGGAGGGCGGGACCCGGCGTTACGCGCGTTTCTTAAGAAGGCAGCCTCACAGCCTCGCCCTAAAACTCTAGTTCTTTAGGGGTGCCTTGGTACCGAGCCGACATTTTTACCTTGGATCCGATAATTTGGATGCTGGTGGTATTGGGATCTCGCTTTGAAAAACACCTGCTCTTCTGCTAAGGAAAAACCACTTTGCCTTGCAATGTGAGACTGCAAAAGATTCAGACGCACTTAGATGCCATATAGAATGGAGGGGAAAGGAAACCAAAATCAACATGCAGCCTTTACCTCGACCCCACTGCTTCGTTATAACTCCACCACCAGAAAATTATGCCCCGTTGCTGCCGTATTATTTTCTTCCATGAGCTGATAACTTATGCTGGTTTAAATTTCACCTGACCATCTGCTCACCTGTTAACTAAAGATGCTAAGGATAACCTTAAAAGGCCCAAAACCTGGGGGCAAATTGTGAATCAAATCATTTATCACAAAACAACATAATAGGATTTTAGTTCACTATATTCATATAATCACATCTATATTAAGCCTTTTCCACTATTCTCTGAATTGCCATAAGCCAAAATGAATACCTTCCCATCAGATTTACTGCCTCCAGACAACAATTGTTTAAGCTGATAAATTTATCATAATGTAAAATTCTAGGGCTGGCCGGTTAGCTCAGTTGGTTAGAGCATGGTGCTATAATACCAAGGTCAAGGGTTAGGATCCCCATACTGGCCAGCCACAAAGGAAAAAAGAAAAAAGTAAAATTCTGTCTACTCTCATCTTTAAGATTCTTTCTAGCCCAAAACTGCTTCGCTGGTTGGTTATTTGGGTCCCTCACTGTTCCTTGCTTGAGACTTGCCCAATTTCATTTCTTCTTCCAGCTGAGGACCAATTTTAGAACACAGGTGAAATAGTTTGAGTTAATCTTTTTTTTGAGAGTTAATCATATTATTAGCACTTTGCAAGGCCCTGCAAGACCTGATACCTGTTCAGCTTTCACCACTCCTTCAAATTACTGATAAAACCAGACTTTTCAAATGTCTGTATATGTTATACTATTTCTGGACTTCAAGACTTTGCTTATATTGTCCCTTCTCTCCCCCACCACAGCAGTTATAAAGTCCTTTCTACGGTGAAATGTGTTCTGACTTCCAATTAGCCAATTTCTTTTACACAACCCAGCTTGTAAATTAAGGCTCCTTATGCTATGATTCCAGAAGTCTTTTAAGATTTCCTGAATAAAATTCAGCCTTCTTGAGTAAGTGGGCCTTTTAACAATATTCCATACTCCTTTCAGAGCCCTAAGCACAGTAAACATAACAATTCTTCCATTACTTATGGACTTAAATACACTCTCCAGCCAGGAATGTATTTTAATAGGCAGTTTCCAGAAACTGAGAGAACTTGAGGCCAAAAAGTGGAGTGTTGGGATATCAGGAATAGTCCCAAGCCCGTTGGGTGATTTTTTTTTTTTTTTTTTTTTTTGGTCACTAGCCTAAATCACCACCCCTCATATGACCGCCAAATACCGCACCACAACCCACCCGTTCCTCATCAACTAATCTAATCAGGTGCCATTCACAAGATTTTTCTTCCATAAAACTCTGAGCTTTCTTTCAACAGTCTAGACAAATAGCCCCACACTATCTCCTCAGTTCCATATTCATCACTATCCCATTTTCCTTGGCTTCAAACTAAGCTAACATGTGAAACTTTTAATTCGAACGTTCCTCGCCGCGAGACCTTAACAGCAGAGCCCAAGGAAGCAATTTCCCGCCAGAAGCGGCTTCCAAATCCTGCGAGATTAAGGACGCGAGGTCAGCCTAAGAACATGCGCAGTAACAAACTCCACCTTCTAGCTACAGGCACCCTGACGTCCTCCAAAATCCCATAATCCTCTCCCCACACATTTCCTGTTTATCTAGCTCAGCCGTAAGTAGTTTCCATTAGTCGCGCTGCAGTGTCCGGTGGATGTAGGTGAGGGAAAGTTTTTCTGTTCGTTGTTGCAGTTGGCGTTCATTGTTTGGAATAAGTCAAGTTTCGGGAATCACCGCTGCTGCCGCCAACATGTCGGTCCCAAGCTCACTCATGAAACAACCGCCCATCCAGTCTACGGCTGGGGCCGTCCCGGTTCGCAATGAGAAAGGTACTGTGCCGACTCCTCTTTCAATCGGATCTTAGCTCTTCCTGCCCCAGCATCCTCCAAACCTCCCCCGGGCCGATCCCCCAACCCCGCCGACCCTTAAGACCGGCCCCCAATTTTCTCGACCTTCACCGCCACCAATTGAGTGGAACCCAGTTGCATCTGATCTTTTTTCTGCTCTTGTATACAGCAAGCACTCGTCTTCCCTTGGCCTCCACAAATTCCTTAGACTACTATATGTAGTTAATTCTTGTTTATAGAGCATTGTGCGGCATACAGTCTCTCTTTTGTTATCCAAGGCAGTCTGTATACTCTGCTTTTATAACTCTTATCAATTATTGTAGTTATTTATGTGTCTGTCTCCACGTACTAGATCGTAAGCTCATAACCTCCTTGACGGAGGAACCATGTCGTCTTCAACTTTTTATCCTTCTTTTTTTTTTAAAGTTGCCCGGTAAGGGGATCTTAACCCTTGACTTGGTGTTGGCAGCACCACGCTCTCCCAAGTGAGCAACTTTTTATCCTTCTTTTTTTTTAAAAGTTGCCCGGTAAGGGGATCTTAACCCTTGACTTGGTGTTGGCAGCACCACGCTCTCCCAAGTGAGCAACTTTTTATCCTTTTTAGCCAACGTAGTGACTGTGTTTAATACATTGAAAACAAAGTTGTGTACGACAGTGTCCTTAACCTTAAAGAATTCATATCTAGTAAATGTAAGACATGCAGAGAAGTGCATTCTAAGCTAACCTGTGCGGTCCTTCACGCTTGTGATGCCAGTCATATAGATAATATAATCCAAGCGCTGTGGGAGGGCAGAAAAGGGGTGATCACTTAGTTGGGGTAATCAAGGAAAGCTTCCTGAAGAAGGTGGCATTTAATTTGATCCTTAAAGGATGGGTAGGATTTCTACAAGTGCAGATGGAGGAACACCCATACCTGTTTAGGGAGTCCGACTAGAGTTTTTTCAGTAATGATGTTGGGAAATAATATCAATTCTTTCTTTTTTGTTTTTAAAATATACCGGTCAGCCCGCCCTTTTTTTCTTTTTTAACTCATCATTGCTTGAGAATTATCCTTTGGATACATATAGAACTAATTTGTTCATTTTAACTGTTTATGAATTCCATTGTATAATTAAACCATAGTTTATTCTCTATTGAGGGACAGTTAGTTGTTTTGGTTTTTTTCCTCTTATAAAAGTGCTGCAGTTGTGATTCTTGTGTACTTGTGTAAAAATTTCTAAAAGTTCATCATCAACTTTACTACCTGTTGCCAGTTGCTTTCCAAAGTGAGTTGTAAAAGTTTTTATTTCCCATAGATTCATCCACACACTTAATTGTATCAGATTTTTAAATTTTTGCCCATTCTAACAGATATGAAATAGTACTTCATTATTTTACTTCGCTTTTCCCTGATTTTTAGTGATGCCAGGCATCTTGTTCGTGTGTTTATCAGTTCTCTGGGTTTTCTTCTCTATGAATTAACTGTTTCTGTCAGTTACCCACTTTCTGTTTACTGTGTTTTTATATATTCCAAATCTATAATATTCTTTGCCTCATTTTTTGGCTTGTCTTTTAATTTTAATTATGGAGTCTTCTGTTACACAGATGATTTAGTTTTAGTGTTATCAGATGTATCAACTTTATCTTTTATGGTTTGTGCTTTTTATGTATATTGTTTAAAAAATCCTTCCCTACACTGAAATACGCATATTCATATCAATATATATATTTTTATCTTCTAAGTGTTTGTATATACTAAGTAGAATCAAATACATGATTATACAAGACAGACTCTAGTTAAGGATCTTACAGTCCAATAAGGAATGTAAATATTTAAGATATGTTTTTCACCAGTGGATGTTTAGTCCATCTAGAACTTTTTATTTGTATGGTGGAAATTAGAGATGTAATTTTATCGTATGCTATATAGTTAGGCTGTTGTCCCTCTTCTGTTGGTTTAGTAGCCCATCTATTCTCCACTGATTTTTTTTTTTTTTGGTCTGGCAGCTAGCAGGTACAGGGGTTGAACCCCGGACTTTGGTGTTACCAGCACTGTGCTCTAACCGAGCCTGTTGTCCCTCTTCTGTTGGTTTAGTAGCCCATCTATTCTCCACTGATTTTTTTTTTTTTTTTTTTTGGTCTGGCATCTAGCAGGTACAGGGGTTGAACCCCGGACTTTGGTGTTACCAGCACTGTGCTCTAACCGAGCAACCAGCCAGCCCTCCATTGATTTTTTAATGCCACTTCTGTAATACACTCAAGTTTTCATACAAGTTTCTTTCTCTGCTCTCTATTCTGTTCCTTTGGTCTTTATGTACTTCCTGAGTCAATGACATTGTGTTTTAATTACCCTGACTTTAAATAAACTTCGCTATCTGATACAAAAACCCTCCCCCCATCCCACTTTATTCTTCTTTCCATATGATTTTAGAATCAGCCGAGGGACAACTTTAATGGAATTTTATTAAAATTATACATTGAGATTGTAAATTATAGTTTACTTCAGGCACAGTTGCCATCTTCTCACTCTTGAACATGATATATTTCTCCATTTATTTAGATCTTTTATCTTTTAATAAAGTTTTATGTTTTTCCTCCTCCTAAAGGCCTTGTACATTGTTTGTTGAATTTCTTCCTCTACGTAGGTCTTTTATTAAGCATTTACCCTGAAGTCTTTTAGCTTGTCTGTTGGTTATCTTGTATTTTCCCATAGACAATCTTATAGTCTGCAAATTTATGTCAGTTTCTTCTTTCCTTTTCAATCCTTATACCTTTTACCTCTTTTTTTTTTTTTTTTTAATTATCCACATTAGAACCATAGTACACTGTTGACTGGAAGTGTGATAGGGATGACATAAGGATGCCCACTGTTGTTGTTGGGGTTTTTTTGTTGTTGTTTTTGGCAGCTGGCCTGTACAGGGAGGGATCTGAACCCTTGATCTTGGTGTTAACACCACATTCTAACCAACTGAGCTAACCGGCCAGCCCACCACTGTTTTTTAAAGAGAATGAATGCTTTTAATGTTTTGTCATTAAGTATAATGTTTGCTGTATCAAGATTATGTGACTTTAAAAAAATAATATATTGCTTCCCCCACTCCCCCTTAGTTTTCTCAGGCAAAGCCATCCTTGTAGTCCTGAACTTAATCCTACTACATCGTGATGGTGGCTTAGGGTTTTGTTTTGTGGTTTTTGTTAGTTTTTACATTGCTGGGATAAATATGCTATTATGTTATTTAGTATTTTTGTATATATGTTCATAAGAAATCTACCTAAAGTTTTCCTTATAAAATGAGTTGGTTAGTTTTCACTGTCTTTCTATTCACTAGAATTGTTTGTAAAAGAGAGATTATCTACTCTTGCAGATTTTTTTTTCCTTTTTGTCTTTTTTACTGACCGGTAACGGGATCGCAACCCTTGGTGTCGCGCCCATACTGGGGACCGGCAACGGGATCGCAACCCTTGGTGTTGCGTCTGCACCACGCTCAGCCAGTGAGCGGGAACCGGTCTCCACATGGGATCCGAACCCTCGGCGGGAGCGCCCCCGCGCTCCCAAGCGGCGCACTCGCCAGTGTGCCACCGGGCCGGCCCGTACTCTTGCAGATTTTTTTTTCCTTTTTGTCTTTCTTACTGACCGGTAACGGGATCGCAACCCTTGGTGTTGCGTCTGCACCACGCTCAGCCAGTGAGCGGGAACCGGTCTCCACATGGGATCCGAACCCTTGGCGGGAGCGCCACCGCGCTCCCAAGCGGCGCACTCGCCAGTGTGCCACCGGGCCGGCCCGTACTCTTGCAGATTTGATAGCACATAAGCTAAAAGGAAAAGGTAGAAACAGACAAGATTAGAGTAAGATAAAATAAGAATATTGAGTTATGTGGTAATATATCATAAAGGCAGGGGGACTTTTTTTTACTGTTTCACTGACAACCTTCCTCCACTTCATTGTACCCGAGGTAGGCCTCATTATCATTAGTGTTGGTATTCAAAAGAATGTCTTACTGTGACTTAGCCTTTGTAAGAAAGCACCATAAGTTGAATAGATGGTCAGGCTGGTGGTTAGCTCAGTTGGTTAGAACACAGCCTTATAACACCAACGTCATGGGTTTGGATCCCCATACCAGCCAGCTACCCCCCCACGCCACCCCCCAAAAAGATGAATAGACTATTAAGTAATGGCTCTCTTCTTCTCCTGCTTAGACTCTAGTCTACCAGGAATACAGGGCTCTACCTGCAAAGGGCAGGGGTTGAAGGACATTGGGAAAGATGCTACTAAAACATAAGTTATTTTCCTCATCCAGGTGAGATTTCAATGGAGAAAGTGAAGGTGAAACGTTATGTGTCTGGAAAGAGGCCAGACTATGCCCCTATGGAGTCCTCAGATGAGGAGGATGAAGAATTTCAGTTCATTAAGAAAGCCAAAGAACAAGAAGCAGAGCCTGAGGAACAGGAAGAGGATTCATCTAGCGACCCCCGGCTGCGGCGTTTACAGAACCGTATCAGTGAAGATGTGGAAGAGAGGTAATGACTAGGTTTATGTTTCCCTGGACCTGAACTACTACAGGTTAATTAGTAACAACAACAACAGTAATAGCTGATACTTGAATAGTACTTACTATATTGCCAACTACACTGTTCCAAGCAGATTACATTTACTAATTCTTATAATCTGTACAATAACCTTATGAGATAGGTACTGTTATCCCCCATTTTATTTATTTATTTATTATTATTATTTTTTTTTTTTTAAAGATGACTGGTAAGGGGATCTTAACCCTTGACTTGGTGTTGTCAACACCACGCTCTCCCAAGTGAGCTAACCAGTCATCCCTATTTAGGGATCTGAACCCGTGGCCTTGGTTTTATCAGCACCACACTCTCCCAAGTGAGCCATGGGCCAGCCCATCCCCATTTTATAAATGAGGAAGCTGAGGCACAGAGGAGTTAGGAAAGTAACATGACCAAAGTTACACAGACAGTAAGTGCCAGCTTCAGAAAACAGCAGATTACTTCTGGCCTAAAGGCCCTAATTAACTTATTAAGGGGATAGAAAACACAGACCATTCATTGGTTTGTTGAGGGGAGTCTTTTTAGCACAAGGATGTTTTATAAAATTTGAGAAATTGATTTTATCCATCTACTTATTCTAAATGCTAATAAGGGGAAGTGACACTGATGAAGTAGGAGAAAAGACCTGATGTCTCATGTTGGAAAGAGAGCCCCCCAATGAGAGATTTTGTTCATTGTGTATTGAGTGAGGCATTATTTTACAGAGTAGGTCAGAGGTACTGAGCTTTCACAGTTCATATTGTCTCGGGAATTTTTTCACAGAGCTCCTGGGCCAAAACAGTTCTGTTTATTTTATTGAGTAGTTAGATCCAAATAATAAGTATTTGTCTAACAACTTAGCCAATTGAAAAATACAGTGCCCAAGGGCTGGCCAGTTAGCTCGGTCAGTAGAGTACAGTGTTGTAATGCCAAGGTCAAGGGTTTGGATCCCTGTACAGGCCAACCACCCAAAAAATAAAAAAGAAAAATATAATGCCCAGGAAAGAAAAAACATTTTTATTTCATTCTTCCGTAATCACAATTTCTTACCAGTGGGATTTGTGTACCTGCTGGACACTGACAACTTCACGGACCTTGGAATCAGTTGGCACTGTCACTCTCTCCTTTCCTGTTCCATATTGATTATCCTGCTATACTTGTTTGTTTTTTTATCACAGCAGCCACAAAAAACCCAGCTTCACAAAGATATGATGTCTTTGAAAGGAATGAAGTATGATCTAATGTTAAACTGAACTCCCTTGAGCTATTAAAAATATCCCAGTGCACCTCACTGTTACCAGTTATCTCTTGTGAGTTTGCTGTAATGCCCCAGGATGCCTCAACATATGTTTAATGTTTTAGGCCCAATTTGACTATTTGCTGACACTCTGGTTTAATTTCTTTAATCTGCACCTCAGTTCTCCCATCTGAAGACTTCAATATTAATGAAGGTAAACATAATTTCAGGGTGCTCTGTGACTAGGGAAATATGGCTGATGCTTCCTCATTTTTGTGACATTGGGGTTATACTTGGAGATACTGTTTTTCAGATTGGCTCGACATCGGAAAATAGTGGAACCTGAAGTAGTAGGAGAAAGTGACTCAGAAGTAGAAGGAGATGCTTGGCGCATGGAACGAGAAGATAGCAGTGAAGAAGAAGAGGAAGAAATTGATGATGAGGTATGAAAAATGAAAATGGGGTTTTTTTGTGTGTGTATAAAAAAAAAATTGGCGCTGGTGCTCACTTGTTGAGTCCCTAGAGGCACCAGATTGCTACTATTGGCAGAACAAGCCAATCCAGGTTTAAGGATGTAAAGAAATATACCTCTGGATAGCAGGAGCAGCAAAGTTACATTGAAAAGGGGCATGCATAGGAGGAATAAGTTCTGATGTTTTATTGCACAGTAGGGTAACTTTCTGAGCTTTTTTTTTTTCCAGCCTCTGGCGGGGTACAGGGATCCAACCCTAGACCTTGGTATTATCAGCACCATGCTCTAACCAACTGAGCAACTGGCCACCCCACATAGTTACTACTTTTCAGATCTGAGGATAAAAGCTTTTCTATCCCATGAGCTTCTGAAATCTGAGCACTAAGTGAAAGTCTTTTGTTCAGTGCCCTAGCCCTGCAGGGTAGATGCTAAGGAATATCTTAGTGTTAGTAGAGAACCTGAGTTTGTTTTCACATCTCCCTTTCCAGTTAAAGAGCACATATCTGCCCAAGGTCATATATTTTAAGCACAAAATTAAGCTCGAAGAGCTTTCCTAGTGGAAAGAAATCCTACCACTTACAGTCCAGCAGGTTCCTTGCTATCCAGGCATTTCTCAAAAATGAATGGAATTTTGGTGCTCTAAAGACCTGGGGTGACTCTTGTTTTGCGCTCTTTACAAATAATAGAGCCAAAGATTGTTTGGCTTTGTTTGATTTGGATGGGACTAGATCTAGGGGAGCAAAGAGCTTCACTCTAAGGAGCAATTAACAGGATTTCTGTGATGCAGGAAGGACCGGGTGACAGTTCAAGAACGTGAGGCTGAGGCATTGAAACAGAAGGAGCTGGAGCAGGAAGCAAAACGCATGGCTGAGGAGAGGCGCAAATACACGCTTAAGGTACTGGGGGGTGGTTGCAAGGAGTAGTGTAATTAGGTTTGTCTGAGAATAAGGAAATCCAATGGCTGAATTGTTCCCCCTGTTCAGATTGTAGAAGAGGAGACCAAGAAAGAGCTGGAGGAGAACAAGCGATCCCTGGCTGCACTGGATGCACTCAATACTGATGATGAAAATGATGAAGAGGAATATGAGGCATGGAAAGTTCGAGAGCTAAAAAGAATCAAGAGGGACAGAGAAGATCGAGAAGCGTGAGTAGCAGGATGGACCTAGAGTTAATGCTGCTAATGGAACAGGTTTCTAGTAGGGTATCTCTGAAGCTCATTACCTATTCTGAGTTCCATTTCAGCTTTCTCTAGGGTTCTTGCAGCTTGGTGAGTTTCTCATAATTGGAATGTGAGTTTTACGGTTACAGTGAAATCAGAGAAGTGAAACACACTTTATCAGTCTCAATGATAGAGTGCCAGCTAAAATTCCTTTTAGTTTCCTATTAGACACACAAAAGTTATTTACTGTTACCAGTTATCTCTTGTGGCAAAACAACCCAACCCAAATTGAGTGGCTTGAAGCAATTTATTATTTCTCACAATTTTGGAGGTTGGCTGAACATTTGCTTTACTGGTTTCACCTGGGCATGCTTATGTACTTGTGTCCAGCTGGAGGGTTAACTGAGCTAGAAAATCCAAAAGGGCTTCACTTACATGTCTGGTAGTTGGTGCTGGCTATCAGCTAGGATGCCTCACTTCTTCAGTAGGTTAGACTGGCCTCCTTACATAGCAGTCTCGTGGCAGCATTCCAAGAGGGCAAAGGTGGAAGCTGGCAAAGTCTCCTGAGCCTTAGGTTCCAGAACTCATCATTATTTCTGCCATATATTGGTCACAAAGCCAATCCAGGTTTAAGGATGTAAAGAAATATACCTCTGGATAGCAGGAGCAGCAAAGTTACATTGAAAAGGGGCATGCATAGGAGGAATAAGTTCTGATGTTTTATTGCACAGTAGGGTAACTATGGTTAACAGTTAACTTTTGTATATTACATGATAGTTAAAGGAGAGGTTGTTGAATGTTTTTGCCACAAATGATAAATGCATGAGATGGTTGATACATTAACCACTCTGACCCAATTATTATACATCATTTATGTATCAAAATATCAGATTTTACCCCATAAGGATGTACCATTACAATGTGTAAGTTAAAATTTAAAAATAGATTTAAAATAATAATAATAAATTTAGGGCCGGCTCACTTGGGAGAGAGTGGTGCTGATAACACCAAGGCTACAGGATCGGATCCCTATATAGGGATGGCCGGTTTGCTCACTTGGGAGAGTGTGGTGCTGACACCACCAAGTCAAGGGTTAAGATCCCCTTACTGGTCATCTTTAAAAAAAAATAATAATAATAACAAATTTTAAAAAGCAGAGTGGGACATACATGCTGTTTGGAGAAGAATTTGTAGCACTTCAATAGTCTACCAAACTTTGTCAGAATAGAATCACCTGAGCTGCATCACCCAGTCCTATAAATTACAAGATATGAGAGGGTAATTCCAGATTACAAAGGAATACCATCAATAGATAACTCTGTCCTCAGCCTGTAATTTCTAAGGTTCTTATCCTAAGCTTTAAGGAATCCATGCAACCTCTAAAACTGTATGCAGAATTATATGTGTATGTGCATTTTTCTGGAGAAAAGGGATCTGTGACCCCTTCTCCCTCCAAAAAAAGCCACTGCAATTTAATTAATGATGGTAATCTATGGTTTATGACATGCAAGCACATATATGATTGTGATGGATTTATTTATTTTTTTTAAAGATGACCGGTAAGGGGATCTTAACCCTTGACTTGGTGCTGTCAGCACCACGCTCTCCTAAGTGAGCGAACCGGCCATCCCTATATAGGATCCGA